CCCAAGATGAACGGGCTGGCCTTGTCGCTCGGTCAAGGAATTTGGTTGACCGAGGGGATATCAGAATAGAAGAATGGGAGTACCTGTCGGGTCGGGGATGCACACACAAACTTCTTCTAGATGCATCGGGGAGCGTGGTGGCTGGCTGGTTGGATTTGTGGCTGGATGAGGGATGTTGTGTAAGTCTGGGGGGGGGATGATCTATCGCGAGAATTCTGCATGCAAGACGGGGGAAATGGTAGAAATAGTATATAGGGTGGTGAGAACGTTGTGAGGAGGATGGGGAGAGGTTGTTATCCGATCCGATCGGAGCCGATCATCAGTGGTTGTGATATTGTTGTTGACTACCTTGGACATGGCACAGCATGCTCTAGTTGGTGTTGGCAGGCGGGTGACCCTTTACACTGCAGAGGGTAAGTCTGAAAGGGCGGCTTGCAGAGGGCTGAAACTCGGATTGTCGATGGCATGTGCGGTTGATGAGAGACGGGCAGTGGTGGGTCTATGCCCGTGGTGTCCCGATGTGGAGGCATCAGATCATTTTGTGTTACTGTGATGATCTCCTGCCACGGACGCCTCGTTGCTGATGATCGTTTCAGGAGCGGTAATTCCCTTCTGTTGTCTTGAGTAAAGTTATCGCCTGAAAAGCCACTGGAAGTGAACCCAATCTCAAGTCCGATCTTGGACATATCTCATCACCGCCCTACCGCTTCAGCCCACCTGTACAAGCAGCCCGGAATGGAGGTTGACCAAAAAGTCCGATCATGTCGATCACCCGTTACCCGTGCCGCTTGCCGGCCTCGGGTCGGGGTAGTGGGCTCCGGATTGAGGTGGGGCTAGCCGTCGTGGCTGGTAGACCCGCCGTGCCTCCCCGGAAATGAGTGGGGCCGGCCGGCCGGTGTTTATGACCCGGACCGGGCTGCCGGGTCGGTGTTTGTCAACTGTGGTGTTGGGACCGTGGTAGTTTGTTGACCTGGTATTTGACCGTGGGATTTTGGAGGTGGAGCTGAGTAGTTGTCAACACTACCATAGGTGTTGATCATCAGCGCGGTCTTGACAGAATGAACTTGAAGGTTGGAAGTTGTCGGTGGACCCTAACCCTGAAGCTAAATCTCTCGCCTGGAGCGAGCGCTAACTGGGTTAGGGTTATTCTCTGATAAGATAGGCTTAGCAATGCACCTTGCTGGACAAGCAGCTTTCGCCGCGCAACCACACCATTGCATCACACTAGGTAATCATCAAATCATCATGGCAACAACAAGCCCCGAAGCTACGTCCGAACCGCAAGTCGTCTTCAAGGCCGGGAAAAAGAGAAAAGCGTACCGCCAACGAGTCGAAGAACCTAAAAGCGCGAACGCTGATAGCCAGCATGCGATCGAGCCAACCCCAGAAAACCCCCCAGCGGTATCAGGCAATGGCGCGCAAACAACAGCTGCTGAACAGGACGAAGAGAAAGGCCTCTCTGTCGCCGAGGTACTCAGATTACGAAACTCGCGAAAGCACAAGTTCGGCGGCGTTGGCTTCCGCGCAAGGCCCGGACAGTCGACACATGGCGATGACGACGGCGGCGTCCCCGAGGAGCAAAGCCTGGTTCTCCACGGCAGTGCCGAGACGGAAGCAGAACCCTTCGGCGGAATCACACAACGGTTCGCGCCCCAGACAGGTCTGGCTGGCGATCTAGTCAACAAGCATATGTGAGTCTCCCTTTTGGATACACCGAGCGACCCAGAGGCTGATCAAGCAAGGGAGGAATATGTAGAAACTGCATTGGCTAGACGAAAGCGGCAGGCCGCGGAGCTCACAGTACAGCAAGAAAGCCTCGATGCTGGCGCATCATCAGCAAATGCGGCCAACTCAGATCCGAGCACTTTGCCTTTCAGTGGCCCACAGGTGGATTCGCAGCGAGCTTTACAAGGCAAGCTTATGGAGATTGACCTGGGTGATGAAGCTCGCGAGCGCAACATCGAGATGACGGAGCGCGCTCGAAAGCGATTACAAGGGCAGATCGACGAGGAAGATGAGAATGAGGGCCGAAGTAAGACCCGCCTTGGCCCAGATGGGAAGCCATGGCGTGGCCGGAGGCGCAGAGGAAGCGAAGATATCAAGCGAGACCAGCTCGTGGAGGAGTTTTTGAGCGAGAACAAGCGTAAGTGGACTATGAACTCACCCTTTCAGCCTGTAAGGATTTTAGCTAACCTCCTCGCAGTCGATATCTACGATGTACCTTCGGCAGAAACTCCCAGTGCGGCTGACCTGGGAGACGGAGATGAATACGCAGCAGATGATCGCATCGCTGAAGAATTCCGCCGTGATTTCATGGACGCCATGGCACAAAGACACCGGAAGAAACGAGTAGCTCAGCCCGCTGCTAAGCCTGGCGCCAGCCGAACAGAAGAGGTCCTCAAAGGGCCGAAGTTGGGTGGCAGTCGAAACGCAAGAGCAGCCATGCGGGAGATATTACTCAAAGAGCAGGCCACGAAGCGAAGGTGAAATGTGTTTCTCTAGGCGCGCAGCCTTGCAGGGGGATGAGGCTTGGGGTCTTGAGGAATGCATTTACAACATGCAAATGCGAAGTCGAGGCTCAAGACTCTCGCACTTAAGCAAAATTTTCGGATTTCCTCCGTTTCGGGCCAATACACCACTAAATGCTGACAGCCCTATGGTACCCTGGGGGTTAGATAGCCAGGAGTTCTCTTACTCACACAGCGCTTTTAAAAATACATGCGATGCTCAAGATTGTCGGTGTAAGTTGGCTTGGGAGCTGAATTCCATATAGGCGGGACAACTGATTAATCCACCACGTGTTTTCTGCAATCAAGGGTCACCGAACGGCTCTAGACTTTCTAGATCAGGATATGTTTGAAAGCGGCCAAGGCCATGCCAGGCGACTATACTACTAACGCATTTCAGGATTATCGGCCCCCCTTCGTTGGAGTCGCTCTCATTTGACAGGATCAGCGACAAGACGCAGCTCAGCCCCATGCCTGCTGACACCCCGCCGCCCCCCGCCTTGGGCTGCAGGGAAATAAGAGAAGAGACAGAGAAAAATGATTCCACGAACTGCCTGGAAACGCGTGATTGGAGTGGCGCGGATTTCCCCCCTCTTGGTTACGAGCAAACTCGCAGTGTCACACAGCTTCTCAAACACAGTTTACACCACAGGCGGAGTATCACCTCAGAAACTTGCTATTCGTCTTATCAGTCTGGGACACTGTTTTCTTACTCAGTCACTGTATGCACGCGGTGTAAGTCAGGGTGTCAGCGGGAACCGTCCCGCTCCAAAGTATGGATCATCGTGTTGCTATATTGGGCTTTCTTGTCAAAAAAGGGTCACTATCGGCTGGGTAAGCGATTGGCCAGCTGCAGCTTGATCAAGGCAATTTAGGTGTATCGTTGCAACCACAAATCTGTCTCTTTGCATTCTTTTCTAGTGGTTATGTACGAAAAAGTCTGGTGAATGCGACGTCAACGACGGGGAGAGAGATATTGGGTGGTTGCCACAATAGGAGAGGAGGCGAAGGGACTTGGTTTGGTTGAACGGACAGAGTTGCACCGTTGCGGCGTCGCTTTTTCGTTTCACACACACAGCAAGTTTAGTTAAAGTGGTGGTGTGCTTGTTGCCTTTGGATTTTCGAGGAGGGGGAGGGGGAAGGAGGATCTCTCAGTCTGATAGGAGCAAGTCACCCAGAAACCGGCACAGTGCGGTTCTTCTTTTGAGGCATATCGATGGATCGGTGGTTGAGTGGGACGCTCAAACCGAAAAGGGCGTTTTCTGGTTGGTGAAAAAAAAACATCTTTTTGTCTGCGCCTCTCAGCCCTTTGGCTATGCACAGGGGGGGTGCGCGCAATCCTTTCCATCTTTCTCAACTGGGGGGTCACAAGAGAGAGAGGGAGCGCTTGGGCGGTTTGGGTCTGGCTCGGGGCCTTGTGTGGGATTGGTGCTTACTCGGAGCCTTGCACAATCTCTCTTTGTCTGGCAGCACGGCTTACCTCTTTTTTACTCTTTTCAACGAAAGGGAATTGACGACAGCATCAATTACGCATCGGAATTTGGTGCCCAGAAGACGCGCGGGCGGACAACCGAACTCGACGACGACGATATCGGCCATGAGATTGTCAACTTGAAAGGGACGATTGACTCGGGTATCACGAACGGCAAACTATTCTGGACGAGTCCAGGAACCGACAAAGGATAATGAGGATATCGATGAGCCGGGCCTGGATGGCCGTCACATACATAATGCTTGGATTAGCGAATGGGCAAGATCGTGGGCAAGATCGTGGGCAAGATGCCGCTTCACCTATAAATACTGGAGTTGGGAAAGCCAATGAATCTGTGCTATTCGACCCCTTGAAATTCAACGGCAATTATAACCCTGAAGCGGCCATATTCTTGGTCAAAGGGAGTATGCCTGGGACCACTTTCACCTGGAGGAGTCAAAACTACGAGGTTGTCAACAAGATCGCGCTCTGGCAAAGTAGCGAGGACAACAGCGCCATGAGTGGTATGAGCCCACCACAGGAGATTACTTTTGTGGCAGTCGTATACGAGAACCCCCCAGAACAGCCGTCCGGACAGTTTCCTGAGGTGACAACGTCAACAAACACGCTCAACCTTATGATGAAGCCCACAGTTCCATCACCAACGCCTGGGGCCCCAGGTGTGAGACGACGCCAACCTCCCAAGTCCGATGGTTGCAGCAAATTAATTTCAGGTATGTGCTGCCACCTGTTACTGATCCAGGTGGGAAATGATATTAAGAATGGATATAGCCCGACAGAACGGCCCTGGCGGTTCCCTCATGTTTGACCCGAATGAGCTTAGAGCAAAGTGTGACAAGGTGTTCAAGCCAGGTTTTCCACTCTACTTTGTGGCCAGCTGGGTGGACAATGGTCAATACCGCAAGAGTTATAGCAGAGCCTTTACAGTGGTTTATCATGAAGAGGGATATGCGGTCGCCTCCACCAACCCTCTATTCAAAGATACAAACCCTTATATTCAGATGGGAAGCGATGACGGGACTGATGTACCAGAAGCCCCTTCGGCAACCTCAACCCCTCTGGGTGGCGGCTCCATACCGACCAACGGAGACCCAGCCGCCTTGAGCCCAGCCCCAAAGAGTGGACTTGAGCTGGGAGCCATCATCGGCATCGCCGTCGGCTGCGGTCTAGCAGGTCTCCTCGCCGTCCTAGGAATCATCTGGTTCGTCGTCCGCCGCCGCCAACAAAAGCAGAACCTCCACCCCACCGGCTCCTCCAACTCTGACCACCGCGGCGACGACCTCATGGCCGAAAAAGAAGCCCACACCGGCGTCGACGTAGACGCCTCACCAAACTCGCCTTACTCCGACGACGGTCACCCCAACGGCACCTACCCAACAGGCACCGCCGTCACAACAATAGCCGCGCCAGCAGCGGCAGCTCCTCCTCACCTTCAAGACCAATCCCGTTCTTACACACCATACTCTGACCGAGCAGGAGCCGCAGCCGGAATTACCGCCACCACACCAAGCATCCGAACGGAATCTCTTGCCCAAAACGATGACGGGGCCCGTGCCAACGTTCCCAACCCAATACCAGGGCGGGCGACACCACGGGGTCTAACCACACCATACGCCCACTTGGTAGAGGAAGGAATGACGGAGGATGAAATCAGGAGGTTGGAAGAGGAGGAAAGGCAGCTGGACGCTGCGATTGAACAAGCAGGGAGACGATAAAGAAACAAGACTGAGAAAGGGAAAGGGCGCCAGCGGCGTTAAAGGTTGCATGATATCGAATTAGCCAGTCTCGTATTGATTCTTCTGTCCCAACTTCACCTCTGCAGTCGTTCTGGCATAAAACTTGGGACCACAGTATGATTGAACATGGTGCGAAAACAGGGGTTTGGGGGTGTGTTTTGCATAGCATCGCGCGTCATTCATTCAAAGAGACTTGTGAGAGATCATTATCCATTATCAGTCAGGTCGAACTATGACAAACCATATGTCTTCTTTCAAAGTATGATACCCTGTGGCTCTCCATCACAATTACCAAATTACATAACCTCGATAACTCTGATGCTGAGTTTCAAACAACATGATTCCATTTCCCTTCGCCCGGCCCAGAAGCTAGATACGCTCCCAACCTGAACTTTATAATACCAAAAGAAACATAACAAAACGGCCATGCTAGCCCAAGTTTCCTCAAAAACGCCAATGTCTACGCCCCTGTAATCATACACTTCCCGCATCCCAAACTTGTAAGATGGCTTCCTATACTAAACCCCCTTCTCTTGAACCACCCCCACCCAACATAACCCATCATCTCGTAAAGAACCTCCCCACCATATTACTCGCAATGCTCCCCGCCAAATTCCCACCATTAAACGCGCTCCCCGCAATATTCGACGCCTGGCTAAACTTGTCGCACCTCGAAAAAGCAAGCGAGTTCGTGATCGTCAACACAAGCGCAATAGCTACCACCAAACCGTCAGCACCTTCCACTCCCTCAACCACTCATTACCCAAGGTTATACTCACCAACAAGCGGCAACCAAATAAACTTGAAACTAAACACCGCCACCACCGCCAGCGCGATCCAAAACAGCGGCTGGGCGTAAATCGCAATCCAAAAGAACCTACTGTCCGTCGCGTTGATCACCTTTGACCCCGGCTCGCTGCTCTCAAACACCCAGTGGGAGTCCCCAGTCGATGGGTCGACTTCGTTCCACCAGCGGAGGCCGACCAAGCGGCGGCCGGCGATGTTTTTGAGGTAGTAAAAGTCGGCGGCGAGGAGGAGGATGGTGATGATGAAGATCATGACGAGGTTGTCGGTGAAGAGGAGGCCGAATAGGTAGACTAGTAAGCTCGCTGGGGGGAGGGGAATCAGTGAATGCGACGGGGTTGGTAGGAAGAGGGGAAAAACTTACAGACTCGGAAGCCTAGGAATGTGAGGAGGGTTATTGGGTGGGAGGATAATCGCCAGCTCAGGGAGCCTGGCGCTGGTTGGGGTTGTTCCATCTTTTCAATCGTATGCGTCTGGTATGTTCAAGCTGGTGTGCGCCGTGCGTGTGTGGCGGATGGTGATGATTGATAGCTATCTTTTTTGGTGGTGGTGGTGTCTTTGGAGCTGTTGCTTACATTGGCTTAGGTGTTGTTAGTGCGCATTACGGAGTACGTGGTGCGTCAACGGGGGTCTAGGCTCCTGAACAGAATTGACAGCTGTGAGGGACGGGTTTGGCAGCTGGTGAAACGGCTTACATCGGGCCCCCCTTTTCGGCTATTGACCCAGCATCGATCATCCCGTCCCCGCTTCACGACTTACACCACACTTGCTTTCCTGTTGGGGAAGTGAGATATACCAGGGGTCCGTTGTTTATATTTCTTTTGGATATTAGTGAAGATCGTTCGTGAGAGTTCGCTTTCAACCCTCGGCTTCTCATCATTCGTCATCGTAACCCTTTCCGAGACTCACTCTCACACTCACTACCGTCAACATGTCAACCACCTCCACCCTCCGCCGGGCACTCTTATACGGTATGTTTCCCCCTCATTCCACCGCCCTCTCTCTCACTCACCAACAACTCCCCAGTCCCCTCCTCCTCCCAAAAATTCCTCTCCAAATCCCTCCTCCTCCCCCACACAACAGACAACATAACCTACGACCTCGAAGACTCCGTCACCCCCTCCCTCAAACCCACCGCCCGCACCAGCCTCCTATCCCACCTCTCCTCCCTTCCCAAACCTCCCCCCAACATCGGTGAACTCGCCGTCCGCATAAACGCCATCTCCACCCCCTACGCCCTCACCGACCTCACCACCCTCGCCCCCTTACCCTCCTCCACCCTCTCTACAATCGTGATCCCCAAAGTCAACTCCCCCTCCGACCTCACCTTCGTAATCGACATCCTCCGCCAAGTCTCCCCCCAAAATGAACCACCAAAGAAGGTCATCGCTCTGATCGAGTCCGCCAAGGCGGTCATGGACCTGAAGCAAATCTGCGAGGCAGGAAAGGGGTGTCTTGACGGCTTGATCTTTGCTGCCGAGGACTTTGCCTTGGATCTGAGCTTGACTCGCACGCCGAGTCTTCGGGAGTTCTTGTACGCCAGGAGTGCGATTGCTACCGCGGCGAGGGCGTTTGAGCTGAGTAGCACTATTGATTTGGTGTGCACATCTTACAAGGGTGAGGAAGGGAAGGCGAGGTTGGAGGAGGAGTGCAGAGATGGGAAGGAGATAGGGTTTAACGGGAAGCGTAAGTTTGATCCGTCCAGGATTGTCCCAACTTTAATGAACGGGATACTGACAGGTGAACCAGAATGTATACATCCCAGCCAGGTTGAGATCGCGCAACGAATGTTTGCGCCGGATGAAAAAGAGGTCGAGTGGGCTGTCAGAGTAGTGATTGCAGATGAAAAGGCCCAGGCTGCTGGAAGAGGGGCGTGGACACTGGATGATAAGATGATTGATGCTCCCGTGGTTGGGAAGGCTCATTCCGTCGTCACCAAGGCCGAAAAATGTGGCATTGACGTAGAGGGACTGAGGAGGAAATGGCAGGGTCAAGAACCAGAGTAAAAACGAAAAATGCCCAAAACAATCAGGTTTCGTATAACTGTCTATACTGCCCGGGTATAGCAAGCCCTTGGCCAGACCTCCACATCCTGCCCGGTAACGACAGATCCGCTCTATCCTGCCCCAGGTATCTCGGTAATATTCTTGCAGGTGGCCTTGAATTCCGTTCCGGGGTTCTGGGACCCAACAAAACCTCCGTGTCGGAGTTTTCAGCAAGATCATCGGCTCCAATAATAGGCGCATACTGGCGGTGTTGGGCATCGTGAGCTGTGTTGGACCCTTCACCTTCAAGCTCTTCAAGGCTGAAGTACTCTTCAGTCTTGACTGGCACACCATTATCCTCTACCGCCAAGGCATCGCTCAACTCCCCAAGATCTTCCTCTTCTATCCGTCTGATAAACTCGTCCATGTCTTCCCTGTACGGTGCTTCCGGTCTTTGTACTGTCGAATTCGGTTCCTGGAACCGTACCCTGTTACTGAATCCCTGCGCAAGTTGTTGAGATGCAATCATGGTTCTTGGTGGCGAGCCTGCTTCGTGTCGCTGAACCAGGTCGCTAAGCCGGCGGTCAATTCGCAAGCCCTCGGCGGAGGTATTGGTATGGAGCGGCTGGGAATTGGACGCGTGATACTGCCCGAGAAACTGCTGTTGGCTTCCGCCGTTGGCATGATACGAACTTGGTGCTTGAACATAGTGCCGCGAGTGCATAGGCACAATATGGTTGGTCACAAATTCCTCCAGGTATCTTTGTTCGCCAAGAACCTGTCGCCGGCCCAGTGCTTGTTCAGAAGAATAAGGCTGCCTGTTTGGTAGCGCATGATGCTGATGGAAAGGCTCCTGTTTTATCTCATTGATGGGGGTTGGATTGGTGTTAGAGTAGGGGCTGTCTGGAAGCAGTTGGATCCTCCTCTGTATTTCAGGACCACGACGAGGTTGCGTGGCAGCATCCTTGGAGTCGTTGAATGCCGTAGGTACTTGCTCAGTGGGCTTTAGCAACTCGGCCAGCAGCGATGGATCGGTTTGCGTCTCAGCATCTTTGTACCTAGGCAACACTATTGTGACAATATGCCCGGGGGCTGAGGGTACAACACCGGGACTTTCTTGTCTTGAGGAGTTTTTCGGTAAAGGTGTTTCCAATTGCCCTGATGGTTGTACTCCAGGATGTCTTTCCACAGAAAGTCTGATGTGATTGGTATGATCCACTGGCTGGCTTATGGACTTACTCACTGACCAGCTATTGTGGAGAATTTGTTGCTCACGATGACTTCCTTTCTTAGCAAAGTGCCGACGCTTTCTTTCTTGCTCGTATGCTACGGTGTTAGTTCTCGATGGGCTTGAAAAGTAGGATTCGTCCTGGTTAAGATCGTATGAAGAGTCCCGCGGGTGGGCAGAAACATATTGCCTTGAGGTTCTTGATGGGAGGGCAAGAGGCCGGTGAGCCGAATGGTGGCGGTCTTCAAATACCTTGCTGAAACTGGTAGACTGTCGTGACCCCGGAGCATAGCTGGGTTGATGGTCATGTCTGCTGACTTTGGTCAAGTCAGCCAATACCCATCATTAGCATGCTGCACCCTTACTTACCTGGTGCGAACTTATGATCTGGTACCCTCATACGGCTTTCTGTGTTTATGACTTGCAGCTGTGAACTGTTAATTTGCTCGTCTGTTCCCGTGTTTGATAGAGTGGGCTTACTGGAACCCGGTCCGTCCTGACCTTCGCCTCCTGGTCTAATTTTCCGTTACGATCTTTGTTTGGTTGTTTCCTACGGTTTATTTCCCTTTTATACTCGTACTTGTCCTCGTGAGTTTTGTACCTGCGCCGTTTCTCAAAGCGAGGTTCAACTTGTCCACCATCAAAACCATGCTCCAAGGACACCGAGGGACTGCGTGAGACAGATCTGCCCCGTTTCTTGCCTCTGATGATATCGGTGTCTCGATACCTTGGGGAGGAAGTGCGTCGCAACCTTTCGTCGCTGTCAAGCGCCGTGAGAAGAGAACGATGGGGGTGTCGGTTCTGTGTCCGTTGAACCCAGGCCCGGACGCGCTCACTAGGGTCCGCTCTGTCGTCAGGAAGGTAGCGCTTTCCTGCATTGTTCAGGGGCTTCTCGACTGCCTCGGTGTGCCGACCCCGATCATGCGATCTCTCCTTGGTGTTCCTTGCGTGTCTGCTTCGTTCGGGTTGGTCAGAGCGTCGATGGTCATCTTTGGGTCGGTGATTATGCTTCTTTTTTCGCGACGCCGCCGCCGTCATCCACAGCACATCGTCATCCATGACAAATTACCGGGGCCAGCGAAGCCTGGGGAGGGCTCAAGATGGTGAGAGAGTCTCCCCTTCCGTACCGAGACGTCCCGGTGGGAGGTTCTGAGTGATGCACATCATGCCTTGCTCCTTCCCCCTCATTCTTCTATGATGTTAGGCATTGGCGGGGTCTGGACTCGGCCAGGGAAGGTGCCATACATCGATCACATCCAAACGGCAGGAGCCGCCAGCAAAGGCGATCAAGTACCAGCTTGATTTCCATCCATCACCTCTATGCAATGCCTATGTCACTCATCACGTTCTCTGGGTCATCACCATGAAGTGGAAAGCCCACCAACCTGGGCCTCTCCTCCCGTCCTTCCGTCATCCCAACCCCTGTTGCGGATCAAGCAACCTTCTCCACACGTCAAGAGTGCTGGGCAGCGAGTCTGGAATTACTGCGTACATACTCTATAGCCCTCGGTTGCATCGGTGAGTCTTCCGCAGATCTAAATATGGCATCACTACGGCTAAATAATATCGTCAATCATCCCGTCCTGCGCACATATTCCCCAGACCAAGGCTTCTTGGGAGCCTCAAGGAGCTTCGGCTGTGCAACCTGTCATCCTCACGCAGCTGGGCGATCCTGAACTGAAGTCTGGGTGGTCATGCCCGGTGGTTGACGGCCAGGCATCCCTTCGTCCCGGATCCAATACTGACACCGGCCGGGAAATTGAGGAACCATGGAGAGTCAAGACCGAGCGCTCTCGAGATGAACCATGCAGTTAGAACCCATGCCAAGTCCAGAATATGCATCTCAGTGAACAGCCAGTGGGAAGCCTCGCCGAAGTGGGACGACCGTTTGATGTCTCGCCTTCCCTGTTTAGTTCACTTGCAGGGACCTTCCGGCTCCGTGATTCACCAAACCCAGCCGGTGGCGGGTCCGGGGCATCTTTATCTTGACGTACCAGCACACCCACACACGGCGGCGGCTTGTCGAGACCCGTGCAGACTATATATGCGCTTACAACAGTCATGAGTTGCAATGTGTTTCAATCGACATGGGCCGATCCTCGCAACCTGGGTTCGGTTTTGCCCATTACCCCATGCAAGAAGCTATGATGCCGCTGCCCCGCGATGGAAGCTCTCGGGTGAGAGCTTGGGAGCTTGGGAGCTTGGGTCAACTGCTTTGACCTGGATGGCACCTCGTGGTCAATAGAATGATCGACACACAGGATGAACCAAGCTACGGTACTGTTCACCCGCTATTGACATACATCCTATAGCAGCGCTTGAGGCGGTCGCATCATGGCTTCAATGCCCAGCAAGAGGTGCCATTGCCAAGCCTGGACCAGCGGAACATTCGATACGCATCAGATATCTCCTTCGCTCCGAGACTACACGCATACACAGAGGTCAGGAAGGTTATGAGGACCGGCCGTCGAGTCCTCTGCGTTATGCTCGCCTTTACTGTGGGAGTTGGAGAGGCCCTGTTATCGTCCAGGTGCCTTGCTTCGCGGCAGTCGACTGACCCGTTTACCCGATTTGCTGTGGTGTGATTAGTTTGGCCTCTGCAAGTCAAGATCGACTGGAGGGATAAAATTTCTGGAAGCTGGATTGCCCGCAAACTATCTTCTTGTCAGGTGGTAGCCGCCGCGAAAGGCACGTGGGCACAAGAATGCGGTCGTCGTGAAGCTTGAGCAACTCATCTGAAGGCGGCCATCGAGGGGTCGACAAAGGGTTTCATGTCATGTTGAGGTTGCACTCCGATCGAAATGCTGTGAAGTTTCGCATCTTGATGGGTCATTCAACCATGTTTCATACTGATATCCACTTTCCTTCTCTGGACGACTCGTTGCACCCTAGCCGATCCTGGCTCTGGGAGTCTCTATTGGGACTTGAGTGCTGTGCACAGAAGATGGAGACATGCACATGGAGTTGTATCGAATGCATCACGGTGGCCCTGAAAATTTGTTTTCGGAGGTGACCGGTTTGGCCCCCTTCTCCAGGAGAACTTCAGGAGCACTTCGCTCACCACAGAGGAGCGGGTCTGGGGACAGGCCGAGGGTAAAAGCGAGCGCCAAACGGTTTCTAGGTACTAGGCGCACGCTACACCAAACGCAGCAAGGGTTTTGTGTGTTTCCAGGGCTGTTTCTTGCCATCGATTCCTGTTCCACAGGGCCACGATCCAAATGACAGGGGTTTCCGGATATGTTTCCAGCACCCGTTTGCTGCCTCTGGCGTTGTTCATGGGAAACTGGGGCCTTGACGTGAAGGTCCATATTCTGCTTCCACTCGGGCAACCAAAAATGAGTGGGAGGGGAGATGCATAATACAGTCGCATATTTGCTAATGCCGGCAAAATCACCACCAATGCCTTCGTCGACACATCCACGGGCAGCTAGGACGAGGTCGGGCTTGCGATATCACCATCGGAGAAAACCTGGATCACGAGCTAGAAACAACCTTTCTGGCCACATCATCTCTGGGCAAGGCAAGATACCTAGACCCCAGCGAGCAGGAATAGCCAGGGTGACGAAACCAAGGCAGTTTCCCTTCATAGTACAGAAAACCAAGGCCAGGGTCTGTATTGAGCTAGTAGCTGCAAAACTGTCAGGGGTCATCATCAGTGGCAGTGAGGTGGGGTTTAGCAGTCCTCTGATCTGAAAAAACGTTGATCAAGGATCTCACGACTGTCCTCTGACCAATCCTAGCCTTGAACTCCCTGGACTCATGGGTAGCTACGGGGAACCAGGGCGTATTCGTATGGAGTGTTTGGATCTTTATACAGATCTTCTGTGGCAATCGACACATGTTACACAACTCCTCCATGCCACAGGCACCCGTAGCGAACGCTGTCCTGGGGTTGCGGTCCCTTTGGTATGTTTGATGCTTGTCTGGGAACATAACCATGCTCTCATGATTATGCCTGGCAGGACATCAACCGGGGCAGCAGAAGCAAGGTACTGCACGGGAGCGACCGACGTCGGCTCACGACAACGGCCCTGTCTCATGGACCAAAATGCGGCCAAGGCAGAAGCGGTATTCGGGCCCTTCCCAGGAATAGGTAGCCCGCTGTACTGGCATATAAGACGGGTAGCATCAAGTGCCTGCCAGCGGCTCTGGTCCTTCATCCCCCCGAGTGCCCATCTCTCTCCCACCAACCAACCGGCACCACAGAACATCTTTGGAGAACCCTTGACCCATACCACATAACACAGCTTCGCTAACACCCCACCGTTCCCTGAGCCACTGGTCGCCCCTTCCCCTTACCGTCCTCCCAGTCTCGCTTGAGGAACCAAAGGCTTGATTTTATCGAAAACAGACTGCTTTGTCCGGCTGAAATCATCGAGCCACTCGACTCTCGACTTTCACCTCCGACACCTGGCCGGTTAAGAAGGGCAGTCACCCAGTCTCGGAGCGTTTCTTTTCTCACCCACACTGTTCAGAGGCAAACAACAGCACCATCAACCCAGTGCTACTTAGCCCCTGGCCCCCCGCTCTTTTCTTCCAAGCAACCTTCGACTTTCTCTTCCTCATCAAGAGTCGCATTTGCTCCGACAACGGGAGACTCGACTTGATCTGAAAGAGCACTAGTGTCTACTATACACTAGTTAGATCGAAAGAAACTTTCCCTTCCCGGGCAGCCGACGCAAACAAGAAATCCGACAGCATGTCCAAGTTGTTTATTGGGTAAGAAAAGAAGTCCAATGGGGTGCAGATTCTGCCTCCTTCCCCACACGCGGCAGGCGACTGGCTAACAGAGAAAACAGCGGCCTCGCATGGCACACCGAGGAGGCCACTCTGAGGCAAAAGTTTGAGGAGTTTGGCGTGGTGGAAGAAGCAGTATGTCGTGGTGCGCTTTCATTTGGTGCGGCTTCTTGCTCCTTGTTACCATCGCCCTTGGGCATTGGTGCTTGGTAAGGTCAGGAACACCGCGAAGACTCTGGTCTCTAACCTCTCCTCTTCTAGGTTGTTGTCAAAGATCGCGACACTGGCCGTAGTAGAGGCTTCGGTTTCGTGAGATACACCAACCCAGACGACGCCCAGAAAGCCATTTCTGCGATGAAAAACATCGAGTACTTTTGTCCCCCAGACGACCCCCCCCCCCCCCTTTGACCTTGCAGTTTTCTGACCCTTCTCCAGATTCGACGGCCGTCAGATCCGTGTTGACAAGGCCTCGGACACTGGTCCCAGAGGCGGCGGACGAGGAGGTCCTCCTGGCTTCGGCCGTGGTGGATACGGAGCCGTCCAGATGGGAGGTTCTCCGATGCCCATGGCATACGGCGCCCCGCAACCGTACGGAATGCCACCCAACGTCTACGCCCAGCCTTATGGACGCGGATACTCCCAGGCCGTCCCGGCAGGCTACGCTGCCCCTCCCCAAAGTAAGACGATACGAAAAAGAACAAGAGGGAGCACTGTCACTAACAGTTCCTTTCCTTAGCCTGGCAACAGCCATACGGATACCCTGATCCCTCCCAGCAAGGCCAGCCGCACCAGCAGCAGCAGCCTAACCCAGGTCAAGGATACTAGGAATTTCGTCAACCAGACCACCGTGGTTCTCTTCCTCCTAACAGCTTCTTCTAAAAGAAATGACTTTGAGAACAGATACCCAAAACAACACACGACCCGTTCGAGTTTTCTGTACGATCAGGGCTTTTTGCTGCTCTTTGAGAACCACCACATATACCCCGCTCGATCCCTTTTCCGATACGTTTTTTTTGTCTTTCTCATGTTATGATCGACATTTCTTCGGTTTAGTCGGACGGCTACCTAGACAACAGCCACTGGGCTTTGTTGGCTCCGTCTCCCCGTCCAATTATTATTTGTCAGCCCAGAAGCAAAACAGGGATTTCACCACCCATTTACCTGTGGTATATGTGGTGGTGGTGGCTTCTGAGAAATTTCTGGGCGTGTTTCTGTTTTATTTTTTTGTCTTGTTTGCTTAGTCTTTAATGCATTTTTTCTGCCCGTTTTTTGATATGTCCTGTTTTGTTTGTTTCTTCTTTCTCAAAAGTAGGGATATCATGTGTGTTTGTGTTATGCTATTGTTTTGTGTGTGTGTGTGTGTGTGGGACTATGGCTGACGACGAAACGGCTGTGGGAATTGGGTTGGGCATTGGGGGGGGAAGGGATGCAGATAAAGGGTGTGTTATGAATCAAGGGGGGAATGGGTTATGTCATGGGCTTCCCTTTTGTTCAACAATGCCGCGGTTGTTTCTTGTCTCATGTGCGACATGAGAAACAGAGGGGCGGCTGGGCTGTCTGGGTGGGGGTGAGGAGGTTGTGAAAAAGGAAGAGGTGGGACAGGTGGAATATGCTGCCTGTATTGCTCAGGGGAACGAGAAAGCATCAAGGGGGGGAATAAGAAAAAATAAACCATGAATTGGTGGAGGGAATGAAAAGGAGGAGAAAAAAAAAGAAACAGAAAACTCGTAGCTGTGTTTTTTTCTTGTGTTTTCAATTTTCTCTCTCCTTTTTGGTTTCTGAGTGTGCGCGTCTGTTTGTCTGTTTACTTCGACCATCACGAAGTCTTTTCTGTCTCTTCTTGCTCGTCTATGCTGCTGACCTTTTGGAACTCGTGATGTTGTTGATGATGATGATGATGATGATGATGCTCATGTTGATGCTCCAAAGAAGAAGAAGAACCGTCCAGACTGACAGTGACAGGAGATTGCGCACGCAGGATTTGGTTTTTTCTGTCAGTCTGGCTCACCACCACCTCTCCTTTCCCTTCCGCCGCCGCTGCCGCCGCCACCGCTCGAACCCGATTCGACAGGTCGGTGACGTGCTCGTCACCGCTTTCCGGACTGAGTTCATCGAGGGCCTTTTCCAGACCCCACAAGTAATCACGGTTCAGCCCCGACGGCCCCTCGCTGCGGTAGATGTGCTCGGCTAGCCTCTGGGGGTCCTGCGGGCCGACGAACTGCTCGTTGTCTGGCGTGCCGATGTAAACCAACGTTTGGATCGGCAGTTTCCCGGGCAGGGCAGTCAGCGGATCGTTGGTGTTGTTGTCAATGCTGGGTGCTGGGTGGAAGGGGGTGTAGTGGATTGTGTAGCCGTTTATCTCGCGAATGTCGAGATAGTCCTTCACCTCGGCGACGCGCTCGGGGATGATGCGGTAGGCGACGCCCCAGACTTTCTCGGGGGCCGAGTCATGGTGGTCGGTCAGCTGCTCCCAGTATGAGCGCGAGATGAGAGTCACGACTCGTCCTGGGGCTTCGGGGGTGCCACGGTGGTCTTCGCTGTTGGAAGGGCAAGCGGAGAGGATGATGGTTAGTGAGGTCTGCTTGGTCGGGGATGGAGCTTGAAGAGGGAAACGACAGCAACGGAAGAAGGAAGAAGGGAGGCTGAAGGGGAAACAACAGGAGTAAGAGGGGGGCCCGGTGGGCTGGCCAGGCTTGCGTCAAGTCAATGGGAAGGGATTGGATGCGATGACGTTGATTTGGCACACAGCCTGCCTGCCATCAGGTCCTCCCTCCCCAGTTTGTTCGTTAATCTGGCCCGGCATGTTGGCCCATGGGAGATAAACAACAACGTGAAAGAAAGAGTTGGCAGAAGCGAGGACAACAACCCGGAAGCTATGGCCAACGGTTCGGTTCCGGGTTGAGGCTAAGGTAGAATAGATGGGAGGAAGAAATGTACCTTGCCTATAAGCGATGGTTAGCTATTATGTTGGGAAAGGCAGATACATAGTTGGTGGGAGATATGTCGTCAATGGTGGTGGTCCGAGCTGTGGGGGGGTGGGTGATGGGTACGGGGGCGCTGGACTGCTTTCGGCCGCCGCTCCTATTTCTCAACGCATGTTAAGATGCCAACGGACGAGGCTCCCGCAAGTCTTCGTTCATGCGAAGACCGACGAGGCTGACCCTGTCCATAACATCTTATGGAACCGAGCTCGTCATGTGCCACTAGCTGGAGCAGATCTTGCCTTATCACGCCGCT